GATAACAGCAACAGCGCGAACCCGCAGAGAGCCTGGGCTAATCTAGGCGGGCCACATCTATATTTGTATTGAAAAAATAAGATTGTTATGCAACTACTTATAGAAGGATTTACAAAACCGTTTAATACAAGTACATTTACCTATTTTCATTGACACTAGGAGCTATGATTTACTAGAGATAAACTAAACTATGGGTTAAAATTAATCAGGAACTAAATTTAAGAACTTGAGTCAGGGTGTCGACTTCAACATAGTCATCCCTATCTGAAAGAGTTTCAAAGAGTCTCAAATAAAAATCTACGATGCTGTGATGTTAATACAAACCTGAATATTTACACAATTGTTTTAAGTATTAGTTGCCATTGTTGAGTTCACGTTGTAATAAACCAGGTTTTGGTCTATAGTTTTGTTTAGTGTTCTATCCTTGTATGGCTGGTGGGACATCAAATATATCTACCCTCGTTCAAGAAAATAGACCTGGACAACAACTTTGGCCAAAGCACAATAATAGGACAATCACATGTCTTTTGGAGGGCGCGCAAATAGTTTATTTGGGGCCAGAGTAGCATCATTTGCGCCCGAGCGGAGAGAGGGCGCAAATGATGCTACTCGGGCCCCAAATAAACTATATGCCTGACAAAAGTCATGTGATTATAATTATCATCAATGCAAAAGGCCAAATCGTGCAAATTCATTTAAAAAGGAAAAAATGTTTAAGAGAGATGTAGCATGAGAATATGATATGGAAAGTTGTTGCTACAATACAATTAGCTGAACAAGAGCCAAATAAAATTCTTATCTGTCTACAATAAAAGTCAAATATAATCTAGTTTTAAAAAGATTCCTTTGGACTTCCTGCTTTGAGATCCGCTGTAATTTTTCTTTCCTCGCACCATTTCTCAAACTTTCTTACTCCCCGCTCAGTTGTTTTCTTGGCGTATTTCGCTTGAGCTTTTTGCTCGACTTCATCCAGTTGCTCGTTGTCTAAGTCCGAGTTTTGACCAGAAAAAAGCTGAAAATTTGGGACTTCGAAATCTCCAAACGTCAATCGTTCACTACAGAAGTACAAAGTAAGCAAGTGCCAAGTCATAATCTTGTTTAAAATAGTCCCACTTACCCCATCCCTCCTGCAAGCTAGCAGTTTTGTCATCCCCTCCCACCTGCACTGTTAAGTCACTGGCTGGGTACAAGACGGAGCCATCCACTACCACCCGAAAAAAAATGGCTTGAAGAACCTTTGCTAGCGGACACAGAGCGCACGATTTCTCTAGATTTCTGGTGATGAAATTTAAAATTAAAACAGGCTTTACGCTTTTTCTCTAAAAGGTGATGTTTGACAGGAATTCAATTTCTTCTCTTCTTTTCGAAGCCAGAAAGTCCCAAAATGTTTTCACTAACACCTCAAGCGCACTTATTTTAGAGGATTCGAGATCTCTTCTGGTATAAAGACTAAACGATTTCTAAATGTTCGCATGGACAGTAATAATGCCTTTTCGGGTATTGGTCTCTGGGCCAAAACGATGATGGTGCAATGGGTCCTCCAATTCGATTTGCGGGGCGCCTGTCGTGCCTGTACGAAATAAGACAATGGCAGGGTTTGTGGCCCCTTGACTCCGAGGTACTGTAATAGGCAGTTTATTACATTTATGGTTAAGTCTTATAACATTTATGGTTAAGTCTTATTATATTTATGGTTGATCAGTTTATTGCATTTATGGTTAAATTTTATTACATTTATGGTTGGTGGATTTATTACATTTGTGGTTAATAGTTATTTCATTTGTGGCCGATTCTTATCACATTTATGATTGGTATTACATTTATGGTTTTTATTACATCTATGGGTGATCCAGATGAGTCCAGCGGAACTCTTGTTTTGCAGAAAGATGCGTGCTAAACTACGTGAACTGAGGGAGGAGAGCGTAGAGAGTGAGGTGCGAGACAGA